GCGTCGTTCTCTGCCCGTGTCTCTGAGTCTGGGCTCCAGCTGGGCTCCAGCCTGGCCCTCCGTTCTCTGGCCCTATCCTGGCCTGTCTGCCTCCGCCCTGCACTTGGCGTTCCCCTTGGCCTCTCTGCCTCTCTTCCTCGCATCTGTGTGTCTGTACCCCTCTCCCACCCCTCTCTGTGTCTGCCTCACCCACGCCTCCTCCCTCGTTAGTGAGCAGGCTGCTGGAGGCCGCCTGACTGTGGGGGTGACAGGTGGATTGGATTGTCACCCCCTCCCCCAGCGCCTGCTGCTTATTTCATGCCCTGCAGCCCAGCCACGGGGAAGGGGCGGGAGGAGGGATGACAGCTGTCTCCAGCGCCTCCTGCCTTCCCCTCCAGTCCCCGGCCTGCAGCCTGGAGCAGCCTGGGAGGAAGGGTTGGAGGGCCTGCCTAATGAGAGCTGCCTTCCTCACCGTGCGAAGCCCAGTGCTCTGTGATGGGAGGCTGCTCGCTCAGCCTCTCTGGGCCTCTGCTCCGTTTTGACCTGCACCGGTATGGCAGCTCTGGGAGCAGACAGGGACGGAGGGCAGGCAGATGTGGGCTGGAGGGTGTGGGGGCCTCGAGGAGGCAGGAGAGGGGCTGGAGGCTGGCTGCTGGGAGGCACTTCTGGGCTCCCCAGGAACGGCAGCCCTGCCGCAGCTGCCCTGACCGCTCCCCCTAACTCTCCCCACTGGCCCCAGGCCACCCTCACACAGGAACTGAGATAGCATCATTCTGAAACCCGAGAATGGTTTGAATATTGCTCAGGTACCAAGAGGTGTTAGATTGGGGGAGGCAGGGGCCTGTTTTTTCTCCCTCGCCCCTTCCAGACTGAGACCCCCTTTAGGGTCCATTTTGCATATTGTTTGCACCTCGTTTGCATGTAAATACAACCCTCGGCTTCCTATTGGGTCTGGATCCCGGGTTGGGCCGGGACAAATGGCTGTCTGTGGGGTCCTTCTAGATTCCCCACCGGCTCTGGCTCCCTGGGCCCCTCCTTTTTGTCAAGGGTGATGTCAGATGAGCCTCCTGCCCTGCGTCCCTCTCTGTTCTCCATTTGCTAAGGCTTCTCTGCAGCCACCCTTCCCCAAAGAAGGTGGGTCCATGCCTGCCTCCCCAGGGCCCAGCCCAGCTGCCATCCTCCCCCTCTGCTCTTTCTGTCCTCACTCCCCACCCCCAGGAGGCCCACCCTGCCCAGCTCCGTCCTGCCTGCACTGCCTCGAGTGGGAGAAGCAGAAGCAGAAGCAGCCGGAGCCTTCCAGGGGCTGCTTTCGGTGACCCAGATGCTGCCGGCCCGAGGAGTCCTAGCTGTGGCCTGAGGTCAGGCGGGCCCCAGGGCCACTGGAGCCCAAAAGCCATCCGGCCAACCCCTTGTCTCCCGGATGTCTTCTTCCTAGGTCCCCTCAAGTCCTGGGCTTCCGGAGAAACAGCCAAGAGCCAGGTCTGGGAGGGCTTCCTCGAGGAGAAGGCCAGAAAGGAGAAGAGGAATGGGGGGAGCCAGGTCTGGGAGGGCTTCCTCGAGGAGAAGGCCAGAAAGGAGAAGAGGAATGGGGGCAGGCCGGGCCAGGGAGGAAAGGGGCACATCTGGAGAACAGATGCCCCAGCCTCTGGCTCCTGGCAGTTGGTGAGGTAATTAGGCAGAGGGCTCATTAAGGAGGCCCAGGTGTTCATTAGGCTCTTCCTAATGTAGGAGGGAAGCAGGACAGGATGGGCCTCCATACCTCGATGAGGGTCTGCAGAGGGCCCTCTGTGCCCCCCTCCTCCCCCCGGGCCCCAGGCCGCCCTCCCAAAGTCTGCACCGAGTTCCTCTTCTCGCCCCGGGGCCTTCAAGGACTGCGCTGCATGGGAGGGAGAGACAGGGTGGAAGGGGAGAGATGTTCTTACAGACCCAGCCTGCGCTGTAGGCGGGCTCCTGGTTAGACAGGAGGAAGGACGGCCCGAGGCAGGGGCATCTCGGGCTCTGGCGGGTGTTGGCACAGAGGCAGGCGCGGCAGTGGGCACAGACGGGGCCCTGGAGACACAGGCGGTTGTAGAAGTGCTTGGGGGACCTTGGCAGAGACCGGGGACGGCTGGGGCCCAGTCTCCTCCTTCCTGACTCCCCTCTGCCGGAGGACGCTCAGGGGGTCTCTGTGGCTTCCCTGTCTTCTCAGCCCTGATCCCTCTCGCATCCCAGCTCCCCCAGCATGAAGCGGGGGTGGGGGGGTGGTGCAGGAGATCAGCCAGGGAGCTGGTTGCCAGGCGACAGTTGCCTAAGCAACCCCATCCTCTCCATCTCCATGTGCTCAGGGCTGCTCCTTAGAAGACTTTAGAGTCCCAGCCTCTGCACCAGCCAGCCCGAGGGCCGGGAGAGGTGGGGCCTGGAGAGGCCAGCACGCTTGGAGGGTAGATGGTGTCCACGCGTACAAGTCCAGGGGCGGTTGGGGGAAGAAGGGGTCCGCCGCCACAGAGCACAGAGGGAAAGGAGCCAGTCCTGTAGCCAGACTGACCGAGGTTAGACCACAAGAAGGACTTCTCATGGGGTCCGAGCAGGGACACAGTCCGTCCTTCCAGCGGACATTTCCTGAGCTGCTTGCTCCTTACCGGGATGGGGTGGTGACAAGGACAGGTGTGGGCCTGCCCTCACGAGGCTCCGGCTGCCTGGGAGCCAGGCGTTAAATGGAAGCTCAGAGTTGGAACTAATGTACGGTCGTGGTGAGCGCTGGAAGGGAAGGAACAGGGCGCCCGAGGACCACGGGAACACGGGCAGACTTCAGGGGTCGTGAGAGCAGACATGGGGGCCTGTCTCCACTTGGAGGAGGCGGCGGAATTGGCCGGAAGCTGATCGAGGCCACAGCTCCGTGAGCATCTGCTTACACACAGAAGGTGGCGACAGGGAGATGGGACGGGGGTGATGGAAGGTGGGCGCTCGCAGCCACAGAACTGCGGCGGTGGCAGCACTCGCCAGTCTGGATGGGGGTTTTCAAGGCCAGGCTCCAGGATCCCTTTGGAAAAGTCGTTTTCTTAGCCCCCTTGGCCTCTGTGTTCCCTCCCCGCTCTCCTGGCAAGCCCAGATCACTGGGGTCACACTGGGGAGCAGGGCAGCTGAAACCCTCGGGCAGGGGCTTTCGAAGGAGGGCTTTGGTGTGACCGGCATCGTAGGCAAAGAATGGAGTGGCTGCGGGGCCGCTCAGGCCGCCTGTGTGGGTTTGTCCCAAGGCGGGGTGTGATGGGGGCAGTAGGCGGCCCAGGGCCCACGGAGCACCTTGAGGGCAGGGAACAGAGGAAGAGGTTCCTGGATCCGTCTCTGGGTGGGGAGAAGGGTGCAGGGAACTATGCTCTTTCCCAAAGATCTTGGGACAGAGCAGAAGCTCTTTGCAGCTGGGCTGCAGAAGGAGGGGAAGGGGTACCCCTGGCTCCTCCCAAGTCCTTTGATCCCCTCCTTCCCTCTCCCCTGCCCTCCGTGGCCAAGAAGTCAGCGAGGCTGAACTTCGGCGTCTCTTCTAGCACCTCGGGGGCCATGACTGAGGGGCTGGAAGGGCTCCAGGAAAACTCAGCAGCCATTGGAAATGGGGTCGGGGAGGGGGTTCCTAACCACAGGCGTGTCTGTCACCTCTGCCCAACCCGGGGCCACTGAGAGCCTACCTCCCTGGACTCTGCAGTGGGCTCTCTGCCTAGGGCTCTGTGGAGGGGACTCTGCAGGGGAGGGCTGGGCCGCTAATCAGAGTGGCTTCAGAACGCATGGGCCTCCTGTCCTCACTGCCCCCTGCCTCCCTGTCCTGGACGGCTCTGCCCCCGATTCTCCTGGAATCACGGGGGTCATCGAGGACCCCCACCCCACCCAAGGCCCTTCCCCAGGCCCCAGGGGCTCACCCAGCCTGTTTGGCACCAGCCTCTCCCAGCCCTGAGAGCTCGCACCTTTTCCGGGTCAGGCTGGGTTTCCATCTCCATGTCCCCTCCCATTCTAGAAGGGCTCCGTTCCCTGTCCTGCCTGTGGAACTGGGGCCCGTGGGCTGTGGCTGCCGTGTAGGCCTGTGAGCTGGGGAGTCCTCGTCCTGGTGCCTGCATCCGCCTCCTCTGGACATGCCAGCGGCTCTGAACTTGGGTCCTAGACATGGCCCGTTCCTCCATAGTGGGAGCGGCATGCTGTGACCTCCAGGCCGTCTCTGACCCGTGCCTGTTGTTATGAATCTGGTTTTGTTGGAGCTCATCCACCCTTGTTTGTTTTCGTGTCGTCTGCTGCTTTCCCGCCACACGGTCAAGGAGTTACAACAGAGTTGTGTGGATTGCGAGGCCTAAAGTAGTTATGATCCGCCCCTTTACAGAAAAAGTTTGCAGACTTCTATTCTAGACTATGTGTGTGTGTGTGGGGGGGGGGGTGTCACGTATTGATTCATTTTAAGCAGCAGAACCCTTTCTTCTAATGAAACTTCCAGGCCGAGGCACACTGAATAGAACGGATGGGTGTGGAGCAGCCCCTGGTGGGGGGAGACGGGCTCACGGCCCCCACCCACTCCGGGACGCCAGGCTCCGGTGTTCTGTGAGGCAGGTTGGGGGAGCAGTGCTGTAGCCCAGCTCTGCTATGTTCCGGACCGGGGGCCCCAAGCACTGCCATCCTCCACCAGGTGCACCTCAGTGGCTGCTCACGGCCTCAGTAGGTGCTCTCTGCACCGGGCTCCGGGTCCCCGAGTGCCACTCTAGGCCAGCGGGGCAGGTGGCAAACCCCGAAGCCTCTACTCTGGGCAGGCTCTGGGGAGAGGAGAGGGCATAGGGCGTCCTCCCAGACCCAGAGCCCTGGACGCCAGCTCTGCATGATCTCAAACCGGAGCGCGGCAGGGTTGGTGTGGAGAGAGCCCGGACCGGAGCCTGGGCCCTGGGTGTGAGTTCCAGCCTGTGCCTGGCCATCCCCTCATTCTGGGGATGGGGCTGGGTGCTGCCAGCCTCTCCTGGGGGTGCTGTGTACTGGCCCCTGGGGCTGACATCCCTCTCCTGGCCCTCCTTTCCCAGGAGGCTGTGCAGAGGTGTCCTGCAGACCATGAACTGAGCCCTGGCCCCAGGCCGTTCATGAACACAGTGTAAGGTGTGCCGAGACCCGCCACCCAGCGACCCCCTCCCCTCCCTAGCACTGAGGACCCCCGGAGAAGATGGGGAGGAAGAAGATTCAGATCCAGCGAATCACTGACGAGCGGAACCGACAGGTGAGGAGGGCTTGGAGCCACGTGGAGTGGGTAAGGAGGGCAGGGAGCTGGCCTCGGCCTCTACTCCTTCCTGCCAGTCTAAGAGGGCTTCTTGGAGGAGGGGGTTCTCCAGAGGCTATGATGGAAGGGGAAGGACTGAGTTGGGGGGAGAGGAGCCCCCACCTCCCGCAGCTCTTGAAACCCTGGATCTCAGAACCCTGAGGCTCATCTGCTGCAAGCAGGTGGACCTGTGCCCCCCACTGCCCATCCAGGAGCCCCACACAAGCCTCAGGCCGTACCTGGGCAACAGCCTCTTTCCCAAGGTGCATTCTTCCCCTCTTCCTACTCCAGGGGAAGAGCCGGGAAGCTCATTTTCCTCCCGACCTCTTTATAGCCCCCAGCACAGAGGTGTGGCATTCTGTCCATCCAGATCCTCTCCCTTCCGTGAGTCGAGTCCGCTCTAAGCTATGTCTCAGCCCTGCATTGACAGAGAGGTGCTGGCCTGTTTCTTCCCTGGGGCCAGGGGTTCCTGGGTGGGCTTTGGGCTTTGACTGAGCCAGACCTACTGTCCCCCCCGCCCCCCCGCAGGTGACGTTCACCAAGCGCAAGTTCGGGCTGATGAAGAAGGCGTACGAGCTGAGCGTGCTCTGTGACTGCGAGATCGCCCTCATCATCTTCAACCACTCCAACAAGCTGTTCCAGTACGCCAGCACCGACATGGACAAGGTGCTGCTCAAGTACACCGAGTACAACGAGCCGCACGAGAGCCGCACCAACGCCGACATCATCGAGGTGGGCCCCGCCCGTGGGCACGCGCGCTCGCCCGTGAGCTCACTGCACAGACCGACTGCCTCTTGCGTGAGCCCGGGCCAGGGGAGGCGGGCGGGCGGGGGGGTCAACATCGGATGGGGCTGCCCGCCGGCCCTCTCTGAGTTCATGTCAGAGTTCACTGTCAGGCCAGTGTGACGTCTCTGCTCTGTCTTCTCTCTCTCTCTCTCTCTCTCTCTCTCTCTCTGTCTGTTTCTCTTCTGCTCCATCTTCTGGTCTGCTCCTGCACCCACTCTTCTGCCTTTGTCTCCCTCCTCGTTCCTGGGTCTCCTGCCCCGCCTCAGTCCCTTTGTGGGTCCCCGTGGCTCAATTTTCTGTGTCACAAAGAGCCAGTGTTGTGCACCGTCGAGGTTCATGGGCCTGGGGTCCCGCTGTGGCACTGACTGCCCATGTGGCCTAGGGTGGGTCAGGCTCCCGGGGCCCCGGTCCTGCCACGCTCAGGTGTGTGTGTTACCAGGGCAGGAGCTTCTGTCAGTGACGAGGTGCCCGGAAGCCATGGGCTGGCCTTCCCTGAGAGGGACTCCACCCCCGAGGTTGGGAGGAGACTGCCTTAGTGTCATGTTCGAGAAAACAGGCTTACGGGATAGAACGTCTACACTTAAAGAGACCACATCTGTGAAGATGCTCTGAGCATGCAGAGGGCAGCCCTGGGGTCTGTGCAGATCTACTGGCTGCGCCACGGCTTTGTGCGGGCATGTGTGACAAGTTCTGCCCTCTGGGCAAGGACAGCATGTGGGGCGTCACATCGTAGGGGCTCCAGGGACGCTGACTTCCTCTTGGCCTTTCTGCCCTTCTTCCTCTCTCTCTGTCTCCATCTCTGCTTGTCTCCCAGAGCCCAGGGACCAAGCTGGGCACCACCAGCCCTGGCTGCCCTTCCCGTGGAACCTCCTTAGGGCCGCTCCCCGCCTGTCACCCTGGAGGGAGGGGTCTGTGCCAAGTGCCTGCCACATTCCCTGGGGTAGGGCCTCCCCCCTCCAGCACGCCCACACCTGCCCAGGGTGGGGGGAGGGGGCCCTTCACCTCCCCCCCTCCCCCGCTGACGCAGTGGTGCGCTTGCAGACCCTGAGGAAGAAGGGCTTCAACGGCTGTGACAGCCCGGAGCCCGACGGGGAGGACTCGCTGGAGCAGAGCCCCCTGCTGGAGGACAAGTACCGGCGCGCCAGCGAGGAGCTGGACGGGCTCTTCCGGCGCTACGGGGTGAGCGCCACTCACTGTCTCCCTGTCGGCCCCTCCGGCCCCCCCCCAGGCGCTGCACAAGAAACACAGGGAATGTGAGAGCCCTGAGGTGGACGAGGTGTTTGCCCTGACCCCCCAGACGGAGGAGAAGTATAAAAAGATAGACGAGGAGTTTGATAAAATGATGCAGAGTTATAGACTGGCCGTGAGTAGTCGCGTGCAGGAGCGCTGCCTGTGCTGCATGGTGTGGCTTCGCGCCCCCGGTGCCCCCGACGGACGCGCCGCTCTGCGCCGTGCGGGGCTCTCGGTCACCACCGAGGAGCCGCTGACCTTGCTTGTGAAAACCCCGTGACCCTTGCCGAGCCGCGTGCTGGATGGAGCACATGCGGGACGGGCCTGGCGTGTCCCTGTCTCCAGCAGGGAGTGCGTAGATGACGTGAGGGCTTCAGCCGACAGGAAGTAGGGACCATGAGCCTCATACGGGGCACCCGGAGACAGAGACCCAGTCTCGGGCCTGCCCCGACACCCCCACTGTGGAGGGAGGGTGGCGAGTGGGGTGCTGGGAGGCGACGAGGGATGTGGTGGCCTAGCCGGTGGTGCGGGCCCTTCCCAGCTGCACGGGTGCGTTCGGGGCTGCACTCAGGGCCTCTAACCCGCTCCCTGTGCGTCCCGCCTGGCTGAGGACTAACCACCTCCTCTGGGGGGCCTCGGGGCGCCCCTGGGGCTGTCTGCGGTGAGCAGAGCCTGCTCTCTGGGCCGGGCTCCATCCCAAAGCACCCCCGCCCACGGACGTCCTCTAGGAGGGCCCAGGGCAGAGAGGCCGGGCTGCTGGCCCTTGGACGCACAGCCCAGAAACGAGAGAAAGTCTTGCCTGCCCCCTCGGGCAGAATGGGTCGGGGGCGACGGGTCCCCGGGCCTGACCCCGCCTTTCCGCTTTCTGTCTAGTCAGCTGTGCCGGCCCCCAACTTTGCGATGCCCGTCACGGTGCCGGTGTCCAACCAGAGCTCGCTGCAGTTCAGCAACCCCAGTGGCTCCCTGGTCACCCCATCCCTGGTGACGTCATCCCTCACGGACCCCCGGCTCCTGTCCCCCCCGCAGCCAGCGCTGCAGAGAAACAGCGTGTCTCCGGGCCTGCCCCAGCGGCCGGCCAGCGCAGGTGAGGTGGGAGTGAGGCAGGGGGCGGCGGGGTTCAGGACCCCATTCCCAGCTGTGGGTGTCCCCCTTCGCCTCATATGGCAGTCAGCCACCTAGGTGGCTCCTGCAGAAAGGGGCCGGGGCTCCTCCCTCCACAGGCTCCCCGGCCGCTTACCGTGTTCTTTTTGTCCCTCAGGGGCCATGCTGGGGGGAGACCTCACCAGCGCTAACGGAGCCTGCCCCAGCCCTGTCGGTGAGTGCAGCAGCCTGCCTGCTCGTGGTCTCACTGGCCGGGGGACCCAAGGGACCCAGAGTAGATGAGAGGAAGACGCCAGGGCCCCAGCTGATGAATTTCTTTGTCTGTGGCAGCGATTGGTATGGACAGTTGTCAGAGATGTGGGCCCAGGGCGTTCTGGGCAAAGTGGGGAAAGGAATCAACTTTTTTTTTTTTTTTTTAAACGTTTTATTTATTTCTGAGAGAGAGAGTGTGAGCAGGGGAGGGTCAGAGAGAGAGGGAGACACAGAATCTGAAGCAGCCTCCAGGCTCTGAGCTGTCAGCACAAAGCCCGATGTGGGGCTCGAACCCACGAACCATGAAATCATGACCTGAGCCGAAGTTGTATGCTCAACCAACGGAGCCCCCCAGGCGCCCCAGGAACCAACATTTCTAGCTGGATGAGAAGATCCCAGTCATTCCAGCTGAGTGGGGGGCGGCTGGGTGGGATCTGCGGCATACCACGGTGTTGCTGATCGATCCCCAACAGACCCCCGGGGGGCGGCTGGCAGCCTCTCCTGACCCATGCTGTTGTCCGACTGTCGGCTGTGACTTCGAATGTCACCATTGACGTCACCCTGGCATTCCTGCCATTCCCGGAGTGATCCGGGAATTGGGATGAAGGCAGCCCCACACTTCCAGGGGAACAACGTGCTCTCAGGGGACAGAGCAAGGTGACACGTCTGACTGGGCACCCTCACTGCTCTGGGCTTTAGAATCCCCCGGCTTAGCCCCAGGCACCACAGAAACCCCTCCACAGTGTGTGGGGGTCCGCGGAGGGGATGGGGACTTCCGTTTCCTCTTTGAGAAGCGGCCCAGAGGAGTGCCTGCAGACTTGAGGGCCCAGGGGTCCCTGCAGGCCCTCAGGCCCCACAGGTGGAATGCGGGTGTGTGAACCCTGGCTCGGCGTCCTCCAGCCCTGGCTTGGCATCTGCCCAGCTGTGTTGCTCTGGGCCAGTTGTCACACCCCTGCCAACCGGGCCTTGAGGGTGGTCCGTTGTGAATAGAGCTGGAGGTCCACGCCCGGTGTGCCTGCACGGCTGGCGCGGGGGCTAAATGAGATCGTATGCACGTGGAAGCCCCGCGCGGGTTGTCGCGTGTGGAGCAGATGTAAGAGGCGGTCATTACGCCTGTTGTTGCCGGTCTAATTGTGGCGGCTGTGGCGGCAGTTCCCCATTGCCAGTGACCCAGCCACCACCGGTGACCCTGCCACCACCAGCGATGGCTCATCTGCCGCAGAGCCTTGGGCATGTTGTGTCACGCGCACCTGAATCACGGCACCATCTCCTGGCCAAACGGGGGTCTCGGGTTGATTTGCCTTGGGGGCTGGGATCCTTACGGAGGCCGGGGATACAGCTGCCCACCCCTACTCCAGGCGGGGCCACCGGGAGCCAGTCAGGCCAGGTGGTGGGATGGCCGGGACTTCCTGAGACCAAGAGGAGGAAAGGCGGGAAGGGCTTGGCCGCAGGAGAAGCTCTTGGCTACTTCTTCCTGCCAGCCTTAGCCCTCCTGATCCCGAACTCCGTCACGCGTTGCTTAGAGGCAGAGGAGTGAACCCAATAATGCCGGAGAAGGGGGCTTCTCCCCCAAGACAGGGCGGTGTTAGGGGAGAACTCGAGAGCTCAGCACCCACCGGCAGCCTGAGTATGGAGTCCTGGCACGTGGAGGGGGAGCAGTTAGGAAGGCTGAGGACTGGATCCATGTCTTTCCTTTTACCCCCATCTCTTCCTCTCAGGGAATGGCTACGTCAGTGCCAGGGCTTCCCCCGGCCTCCTCCCCGTAGCCAATGGCAACAGTCTGAACAAGGGCATCCCTGCCAAGTCTCCGCCCCCACCCACCCACAGCGCCCAGCTTGGAGCCCCCAGCCGCAAGCCCGACCTGAGGGTCATCACTTCCCAGGGAGGAAAGGGCTTGATGCATCACCTGGTGAGTGGGTGTCGCACCGAGGGCCAGGGCCAGGGGCTGGGGAAGGGGACGAGAGCTGCAGGCCAGCCAGCAGGTGGGACAGCCTGAGAGGGGCCATGGAGGCAGGACTTCTCGTGAGCTCTTTCTCCCCAGGGGACCCTGCACGAGGTTAGAATGTGGAAGTGCCCCTTGCAAGGGCAGGAAGAAGGGACAGAAGGTGGGAGAGAAGAACGGGAGGGATTTGCAGTCCCCGTGAAAGCACGAGGGCTGGATTGTGAAGGTTCTGGACCTGGTGCATGTTGGGATATAGCATTTTCTGGAGTCCTAGGCTGGAGAGCTGGCCTGCTCCTGTGTGAAGAGGTAGATCGGGTGGCTGTGGGGACAGGGGTCTGCGGGGGGGACAGGGGTCAGAGACTGAACCACCCCATTGGTTTTATTTCCGCTCCCAGACTGAGGATCATTTAGATCTGGTAAGTGAGGCTATGAGGAGTGTGCTGTGGCTTTGAACTCTGGGTCCACCCGTGGCTCGTGCCCCAGCATGGAGTGTGCGTGTGCCCTTGGCCTCCCGCCAGCGTGTGTCGTGTGTGTTGTGTACTCGGTTGTTGGCCAGGAGCTGTGCCCAGTGCCAGGCGGGGTGCAGAGGTGAACCGAGCAGGGGGCAGGGCTAGACCTGCGTGTGTTAGTGCCCGCCTGTATGTGGATGTCTTCATGACGCGTTCACACAGATCCCCTTTCTCCGTATGTGTGTGCGTGCACGCGTGCAAGGGGGTGGGCCGGCCCCCAGGCCTCGGAGGGCCCTCCTGGCTGTGCCCCGGGTCGCCTGCATTGGCGGGCTGGACTGGACTTGTCCTCTGGCTCAGTCCCGCTGAGCATTCCTGGAACCCAGGACAGGGACCTCCTTAGGAAGGGTGCCAGCCAGACGGTGACCGCAGCCTCCCAGAGGCAGCTGAGGCCCCAGGCCAGGCCCCAGAGTTGTCCTCGGTAGCTCCCTGCGTCCTCTCGGCCTCCATGTTGTGCTCAGCCCTGCACGCAGCCCGCCTGGCACGCGCTCGGAGGCACGCGCATACGCGCTCCCGCTCCCACGGTCACCGCCAGCCCGGAGGGGGCGGCCCCCTCCCCCAGCTGCCTGACGTGGGGCCAGAGAGGCTGGAAAAGGCAGGCGGGCTGTGGCGGCCAACACGGCGGCAGTTTCGGCCCCAGCGTGGAGCTGGAATAAACAAGTGACTCAGCGGCAGATGGAGCTGACAGCCCCACACGCGTGTGTGCTCACACGCAGGCACGCGCCACGCCGGGCCCGCCCTCCCCTGGCAGGGCATGTGCCCGCCGCCGCCTCTCGGCCCGGGCCAGCGTGCCCTCCCCTCTGCACGCACGCGTGCTCCCCAACCTGGGTCCCGGGGTCTCCGTGGACGCGCCCGCGCGTGTGTGCCTGCGGCGGGGGGGTGGGGGGCAGTTGGGGACACGACGCAGGGCCCCCAGCCTGGCCTTGGTGCGCAGGCCCGCCCTCCGCCACCAGCGACACACACTTTTCTCCGGCAGAACAACGCCCAGCGCCTGGGGGCCTCCCAGTCGAGCCACGCGCTCACCACCCCCGTGGTCTCCGTGGCAACACCGAGCTTGCTGAGCCAGGGCCTCCCCTTCTCCTCCATGCCCACTGCCTACAACACAGGTGAGCCGGCTGCGCTTGGCCTTGGGGCCGCGGGCCCCCGGGGGTGGGGGAGGGGTGCTCAGCTGGGGAGGGGGCGCCCCGCCGCGCTGAGGTTGCCAGGCTCAGCAAATAGGAGAGAGAGGATACCCCCTGAAATTTGAATTTCGGATAAAACCACGAGTAATCTTTTAGTATAAATAACGTGTCAAAGACGTTTTTCTGCTGAAGTAGGTCTCAAAGACATAATCACTTTAAAAAATTATTCATTGTTTTGTCTGAAATTCAAATTCGCTAACTGGGGAGCCCTCGCTTTACTGTTGGACCTAATGGAAGAGGGGTCCCTGTCCTTGGGGAGCCTCCTGAGGAGGGGCGGGGCGGGGCCAGAGGGGAGCTGAGCACGTCACTCCGGCTGCCCTGGCCGGGGGCCGGGGCCCGGGGTGGGGGGGGGGCAGGCTTCCTGGAAAAGTGATGGGTGGAGGAGGCCAGAGAGGGTTTGCCCAGCCTCTGGGGAAGGCCAGCATGGTGTTTGGGGGAGGAGGGAGGAGAGTGCCTCTCACCCTGGTGGTGATGGGGAGGGGAGGGGGGGCACTGACAAAGGGAAGGTGGGGGGGGTATGAAGGTGGAGAGCTGCTTGGGGGCGCAGGAGAGGCCTCTGGGTAGAAGAACTCTGGACACCTAGTGCCCAGGCCATGCTGGGTCCCTAGGGCTGTCCTGACCTGTCACGCACTGTCCCCTCCCAGCAACAGTCTGTGACACTGTTAGCCCTCCTGGCCTGGACTCCGTTGTTGCGTCAGGAAGGACTTCCCCATGGGGACGTGGCTTGTCACCTCCTTTCAGAGTGCTTGTTTCTCGCTGAAGAGACCTCTGCACCCCATCCCCCCCATTCCCTCGCTCAGAACGGCTTCCATTAGGGCTGTGATCGGATCAGACTAGACCAAAAGACCCCTACGCTGCGTACAACTCCTGATCTAGGGGTTGTGAGTTTGAGCCCCACGTTGGTGTAGAGATTGCTCAAAAATTAAAAACAAAACAAATACAAGACCCTGTCTCCTCCCCCTGGGTCAACACCGGGGGCCCAGCAGTGTCCGTAGGGAAGCCCCGTGGGGCAGGCCAGGCCAGGAGGAGCCACCTCATGTTGAGGGGCCGGACCCTGGCACGTGTCAGTGTCCAGATCTTCTCACCCGGGTATCCAGTCAGTCCCCTGACCCTGCACATGTCCCGTCCATGCAACCGCTGCCCGGTCGCGCTGCCCTGGGGCAGCCTCAGGCAGTCATGCCCCTGGGCTCCCGTCTCCTCATCGGGACGAGTTGTGGGTCTTTGAGAGATCTCTCAGGCTCCCTGGGGGCGGGGGGCGTTTGGTGGAGGGCGGCGCAGACCGCTCTTCGGGAGCCATAGGCTGGGGGACTCCCGAAATACGTGGCGGCGCTTTCGTCCTGCCTTCTGTGGCCCCCACGAGCCTCCTGAAGCAGAAGGGGAACTTCGTGGGTGTCCGTGAACCTGGGACCGGCCCCCAGCAGGGCCAGACTTTAGACTCTGCTCGTCAGTCTGGCGTGAGGGCAGATTGCGACCCTGAGCCTGGCGTCGCAGGGAATGGTGGGCTCCTCACACCCTCCCGGGCACCAGGGCCTCCACTTCCTCTTGCCCCCGGACTCGGCGAGCAGGCCTCGGTTTAAGCAGCAGGTGTTTTCAGGTGACCCGAGGTGTCTAATCAAACCCTCAGCAAATATACCGCTGCTGAGTTGTTCACTGGTCACAGTCCTTGGCCTCCGTTCAGGTTCCGGGGAGGGCGATCTGACTCCAGTACTGCCCTGGGTGGGGGACGGGCCTGGCCCCTTGTTGACACTGGCCGCGGAGGTCCGGCTGTGTTTGCTTTGGGAGCAGACCGCGCGGGCGCGTGGGCTGGTTCCCCCCCAGGGCGGCGGGCGGCGCGACAGGCTGGCCCTGGGGCTGCCCCTGCCCTCGCTCTGAGTGTGGACCATTGCTAGGGGGGACTGACAGACAGTCAGAAGCTGGGTGTTGCCTTAGCTCAGCCGTTGGTTGGCTTTCTCTGTGACCTGGGGCTCCCCAGATTGGAGGCTGCAGTCTCCTCCTCTGTGAATTGCTCATAGCAACAGGTCGGTGTCCGGAATGCGTCCTGCGTGCCCGATTCTATGGTGCACGCACCCCGCGTGCAAGAACCTGGTCCTCACAACAGCTGTGGTACGGTGGGGTCTCCCTTGTCCAGTCCATAGAGCGCAAGGCGCTTGTCCCAGGTCGCGGGGCCTCTGTGGAGGCCACCAGGACGGCTGACCACCTCACTCCTGCCCTTCACCTTTCTCCGTGCCTGGTGGTGTCCTCCCTGCACCAAGGTGGGAGCCGCAGCACGTGACCCTCGAGAATGAACATGGCGCTGTGGTGGCGGGAGCACGCGGGTGCACCCCTGCCCACTGCCACTGCCCTTGTTGCCTTGGGCTCCACGGGGGACACTGCTAAACCACCCCACACAGGCCACAGCATGAAACATGCCAGCCCGTGTAATTGCGAAACCCTGTTTTTTCTCCGTTGGAGTGGATTTCACAGCTTCTTTGCAGAGATGGACATTCAGAAAGTAAAAAGGGAGAGGCTGGGGCTCTGGGTGGCTCAGTCAGATAAGCGTCCGACTTTGGCTCAGGTCATGATCTCACAGTTCGTGGGTTTGAGCCCCGCGTCGGGCTCTGTGCTGACTGCCAGCTCAGAGCCTGGAGCCTGCTTCAGATTCTGTGTTTCCCTCTCTCTCTGACAGTCTCCTGCTCAAACTGTCTCTTTCTCTCAGAAATAAATAAAACATTAAAAAAAAACTTAAAAAAAAGAAAAAGTGGGGAGGCTGTGGGAGGCTCGGCTGGCTATGCTGAGGGCAGGCTCTCCTCGCCGCCCCTCTGCTCCGCGGGTCCCGCGGCCGTGGCGCCCTGCTGCCCTCTTCTCCGGTGTTGTGGTCTCGAGGCTGCAGGTAAAGGGACAGTGACGGTGGCCTCAGAACGCCACTCCGCTGGGGTCCCCACGACGCCCCTCCGCCCAGGAAAGGCCCCGGAAGCCCTGGCAGGTGGAGAGGTGACAGTTAGACATGTGTTAGACCTTCCTGACTTTTTCCTCCTCTTTTCCAGTCGACATTCTGAAAGTGATACTTACAGATGGTTGGAAAGGGATGAGCTAAAGGCCGTTTTAAGAACCCAGCACCTGCTGGTTGTTAAGATTTGCATTTCCTTAGCTGCGGGCGCCAGGGCCTGGTGCAGCGGTGGGCACTGTGCGGGGGTGTGCCCGCTGAGCTATTCCCTTCCCCCCCGACCCCTGCAGATTACCAGCTGACCAGCGCAGAGCTCTCCTCCCTCCCAGCCTTCAGCTCGCCAGGGGGACTGTCGCTAGGCAGTGTCACCGCCTGGCCGCAGCCGCAGCAGCCCCAGCCACCCCAGCCGCAGCCGCCACAGCCGCCGCAGCCGCCCCAGCCGCCCCAGCCGCCGCAGCAGCCCCAGCCGCCGCAGCAGCCGCCCCAGGCACAGCCCCACCTGGTCCCTGTGTCTCTCAGCAGCCTGATGTGAGTCCCGGGCTCCGTGGGAGGGTGGGGACAGAGCTGAGGGTGGGAAGACAGGTTCTCTGGGGGAGCTGGGACCCCCCCGAAGGGCCCTGTCACCAGCGGACGGCGCAGAACACTGAACACAGAGCAGCGGCCCTGGAGACCCAGCCAGAGCCCCTCCCCCGCCAGCCCGGAGCACCTAGGTGCCGTGGTGACACCAGACACAAAGACTAACGGGGCTTTTCCCTTCTTTTCCTCCTTTGGCCCCTCTTCTTTTGTCCCTGGCTGCTCGTCCCTCCCCGCCTCTACCTCCTTCCTCTTCCTCCCTGCCCCATCGTCCTGGGCTCCACACCTCCTTTGCTTCTGTCCCTGGTGCCCAGCCCGGGCAGTCCCCTGCCCCACGTGGGGGCCGCCCTCACAGTCACCACCCACCCGCACATCAGCATCAAGTCGGAGCCGGTGTCCCCCAGCCGTGAGCGCAGCCCCGCGCCGCCCCCTCCAGCTGTGTTCCCGGCCACCCGCCCTGAGCCCGGCGACGGCCTCAGCAGCCCCGCCAGCGGCTCCTACGAGACCGGGGACCGGGACGACGGCCGGGGGGACTTCGGGCCCACGCTGGGCCTGCTGCGCCCGGCTCCGGAGCCCGAGGCCGACGGCTCCTCCGTGAAGAGGATGCGGCTCGACACCTGGGTACTGTAGCGCCGCCCTCCTGCCCGCCAGTGTCTGCCACCCCCCCGGGACTGCCCCCTGCACCCCCACCCCCGCGCCAGTCACCTCCTGGGGCAGCACCGCCACCTCTGCCCACCCCCGCGGGCCTGTCCATCTGTCCCTCCGGCACCAGGCCCACATCCATGTCCGCCGGCCGCCTCCAGGGTCCTGGCCCTGAGGGGAGAGGGGAGTGGGGGGTGCAGACCCCCGCAGCCTGGGCCCTCACACCACTTCTCCATCTCCTCTCTTCGCAGACATTAAAGTGACGATTCCCACCCCCCTCCTCTCAGCCTCCCTGATGAAGAGTTGACAATCTCACCGCCCCCCCCCCCCCCCGCCCTGGGCTCCTCCCGCTCGACCCCCACTTCCTTTTGTGCTCCGTGTCCTGTTGACGGTTACATTTGTGTATAATTATTATATTATTATTATTATTATTATATTTTTTTTAATTTGGATTCTCGCTTTGGAGAGGGGGTGCTCCCATCCCCTCTTTCTGCACCCCCCACCGTTTTGCTGGTGGGGGGGTGCTGGTTTTTGCGGGAAGGGGGGGACACTTTGCACGTTGCTCACATATGCTGCAGGAGGGGGTGGGGAGCCCGATAGGCCTTTGGGACAGGACAGGTGCCGAGCCCTCCCGCCCCATCCCCCAGAGAGAGGGAGATAACCAAAAAACTACCAAACAACAACCCCCCTTACAATAGACTGAACCCCAAAGTCGGCCCGGCTGGGTAGGTTTGTGTTTCAGGGGGAAGGTGAGGCAGAGCTTCTGAAAAGGGTCCCTGCTTCTGGGCTGTTCCACAGGCACGTGGGGCAGAGTATCTGAGCCCAGACCCCCCCATCCCCCCATGACACACTCACTGATTCTCGTGCGAGCTGCACCCGCAGGCGTGGGGGCGCTGGCCGAGCCTGTGGGCTGGCAAGGCCGCCTGGGGATCTGAGGCTGGGGGCAGAGTTTGAGGCAGGGGCCCCTCGGAAGCACATTTGGAGAGAAAGAGCCATGAGGAGGGGCAGAGAGCTGGGGCGAGGGGTGAATCGGGGTCCCCTTCCTCCCCTAGCAGTTTCTCGAAGATGCACAGTGCAATAGCCCCCGTCCCGCGGCCGACACGAGCCACGGGAAGCTGGCCACAGAGCGCGGGGTGGGGGTGGGGGGGCTCCGGGCCGGTAGCAGGTGTGAGTGGGGGCTCACTCTTCCTTGCACGGACACGTCCCCACATCCCCGAAGGAGGGACACTTGGGGGGGGCGCGAGGGCAGGGGGCGGGGCGGGAGATGGAGGAGGAGGCCCGTCTCCCTCCTTCCCGCCTGGGCCCTCCTTCCCCAGCCCCCCTCCCCGGCTCTCCCCCCCCCCACCTCCCTGCTCTGGGCGTTTCTCCTGGTCTGCTACCTCCTGTCCCCCACCCCCAGGCCGCATCCCGCCTTCCCTCTTGGCTACTGTAATTGTAAATAGCAACCTTTGGAAACCGTTAGCAGTGTAACAGTCCAGGAAACTGGGTTTTTTTGTTGTTGTTGTATTGATATGAAATGAGATTCTATTTTTGTCAAAGTATATTGTAATAATAATGACTCAAACGGCCCGTACTGTACAGACCGAGATTCTTCTGCTCTTGTTCTTGCTCCCCTCCCCTCCCCCAGCCCACCCCTCCCAGCCGCCACCCACCCCTGTGGGGGCAGCCTCAGCGTGGGGTCCCTGAGACCTCAGGCTGGATCACAGATCAAAGCAGAGGGGGGCAGGCCCCCAGCCTGCGATCCACCTACCCCCCCCCCCAGCCTGGCCTAAGGTGGTGTGTGTATGCCGACGGGAGGGGGCGCCCCCTCCCTCACAGAAGCCTGGCTCCCCTGCCCTGGGGGCTCAGCGCTTCCCGGGGGTTTCATCCCAGCCCAGTGGGAAAGTAGACTAGACAGGGCCCCGTTTTGTGGCAGGTGACTCCACCTGCCTCTGTGACCCAGCCGCTTGCAGTATTCTGATGCCTGACGCAGGGAAGGAACCAGAATCCAAGGGGGGGTGTGACCACACGTGCACTGAGCGTGTGCACGAGGGCATGTGGTGTGTGTGTGCATGGCCATAGCTCTGTGTGTCTCTGAGCCCGTCTGGGCACGTACACGAACCTTTGTGTGGATTGAGCTCTGAGGGCGTCCCTGGGTGTGGGGTGGGAGGGGGGGAGACAAATGGCTGTGTGCCCCACAGCCCTGGCCTCCAGCTCCACGCCCCTCACCTCCACCCTGACCCCCACTCCTGGCCCTGCTCTGCCTTCAGCTCTGACAGGCTGGGACCGCCGCTGGGGGCATCCGGCCGTCACCCCACTTGCGTGGCCCTGCGGCTCTGCCTCTCCTGGGCTCCGTGCGCAGGCGGCCCCCGGCCCTGTGCGCACACGCAGCTCCTTTCCTGCTGTGCCCTCTTCCCCCACCCCGGTCCCACCTTCAGGGTGACACTCATGTTCCTCGTCCTTCTCGAAGCGTTGTTCTTGTCTGGGCAGTGATCCTTCCTTACTCAGAATTAATCCCCCCCCCCCCCCCCCCCCCCCCCCCGCTGGCTGGGCACGCCGCGTGTCCAGTCTTCCTGTAGATTCCTAGAGGGACTTTCAAGAGTCGCTGAGACTTGATCAGGGCCTGGGAAGTTCAGGGTGTAGCCTTGTGCGTGCGTGCATTCCCAGAGCCCTGCCCGGTGTCTGGCAGAAAGTTGGCACTCAGTAAATGCTGAACAGGTGAATGATAGGTGCTCGGTGAACCTCGAGTGCCTGGCCTTCCCTCCTCAGGCTGTCCCCGCCGTCAGTCTGCCCACCTGTGGACGCTGGGCTTGGCCACCACCGGGCACGGGGCGGGGACGGGGGCCCCTGCAGTTCACGGTGCAATATTCACCAGTTTTGCCCTCTGCCTTGTACCGGCAAACCTGGCTTCTGATTACCGCGTGTGGATGTCTGTTCGTCTTTCTTCTCTACCCCTGGGGGCAGGGGCTGGTCTGTGAATGACTATGTGACATTTCTGTGATGCAGTACCCCGGGCTTTCTCTTGGGGGTAGGGGCTCCTGGCTGGCCAGATGAACGGGTCCCTGGGCACCCAGACCTCAAGCGAGGACTTCATTTCTTCCTCTCACAAGCCAAATTTGCCTCCACCTACTCCTTCCTCCTAAGAACTGGGCATTTGCCAAAGTAATCACTGGAGTTGCCCACTGCCCCTCCATCCCCGGCCTTCCCAGGCTCGGGGGACAGTGGGCAAGAGGAGCCCCTCACGCCATTGGAGCGCACCATTCCCCTCCCGCCCAGCAGTGCGCTCAGCACAGCAAGGCCGCCCCGACCTTGACCCAGCCCCCCTGACCTTGGACAGGAAGGAAGTAAAGCACCTTCTCTTGACGATTATTTATTTGTTTGGAGAGACAGAAATGATGTAAAAGTGTATCTAGAAATATCTATATCTATATATTTTTAACTGACTTCTTTGGAATCTCCTGGGGAGGGGTGGGGGTGAATTTAGGCTTTCATGGAAGAGAGGAGATCTGCAGCCTGGGAACTCCTATTCTCCCCTCTGCACCCCGCCCCCCTCCCCCCCCATGGTGGAAGGCGTGGGATTTGTGTGGGGGCAGGGGGCTGGAATGTTCTATGGAGAATCTGGATTCTCTTTGTCTTCCCCATTCAGGTCCCAGAGGGAAGGGGGGAGAGGGAGGGGAGGCATGGAGGTGCCCCCCCCTCCGGAACCCGACAATCACCCACACTCCTGGGGCCGCTCCTGGTCCTGGGCAGGGCGAGTCCAAGTGTGTGGCTGTTGATTTGTTTTCACTATTTCTTTTCGTGCTGTATGGTGATGCTTTCTTAGTATTCTACACAATGAGAAGACAAAGTCCTCGGGATTCTTAGGAGTTTTGTTTGAAAACTCTTTCACTATATTTGTTGTAAAGAGGTTTACTATTAAAAGAAAAAGAATACACATTTCTGATACTTGGGCTTGGGGTCTGCTTTCTTTGGTGCGGTCGGCGGAGGAGAGGGGGACTGGGGCGGTCCCCTCAGCAGCGGGGGGGGCTCTCCGGTGACAGGTTCCTCCAGGTGCCGGGGCCGAAGCCCCAGGAGGAGAGGGCTGTCCTGTGGGAAAGGACCCTGGGACGCAGGAGCACCAGGAAGAGCACCCAAGGCCAGGGCAGGAACTCGGGGTGGCGGGAGGGGGTGCTCACTACCGGAAACGCTCTGTGGCAACAGCTTGCCGTGGAGCCCACAGCCACGGTGCGCGGGCCGTCCACGGTGCCGGGCAGCCTCTCCCCGCGGTCCTGAGGTGCCCTCGCGGGCCCCCACGCTGCCACCCTCCAGCAGGGGCAGGGGACCCCCGTCCCGCCCCCACCCCACTGGGCGCCCGCACAGGCCCACGCTGGGGGCGAAGACGGAGGTGGGGGCGTCCACGTCGTGCGGTGGACACTCTTGGCCCCGGGTTCTTCGTCTGCCCGGCCCTGCCTCCCCAGGGCCACCGCGGGCCGCACCTCCCTGGGCGCCCGGCTGCAGCGGACAGAAAGGAGGAGCCGAGCGGGAAGGGCCCGCGATGCCCTCCAGGTGCGACTCTGCACGGGCCGCCTGCGGCAGCAGCTCCCCCCCGACCTCCGGTCGCCCCAGCCTGGCCCTCCTGCCCTCGCGCGGCCGCGTCACCCCGACTCGTCCTGGGCACGTGTGATCGTGAAAGGCCGCAGAGGGGAAGGCCTGAGGTTGCCGAGCTTGAGTCGTAGCTTCTGTCTCTCTCGCTCTCGCGCTTGTCCTTTGCCCCACGGGAAGCCAGATGCCACGCCCTGGGCACGTCCGCAGCCCTGGGGAGAGGCCCACACGGCAGAGAGCCGAGGCCTCCCGTCAGCAGCCTTTGTGGGCGCTCCCCGTGTCCCCTGCCCTCACCTCCCCTGCCCTGCAGACACTGCCGTGCAGACACGCCCGCCTGCCCGCGCGCCCTGAAGCCTCACGCAGATCCCCCAGCAGAAGCCCTCGCTCTCGTCCCTCGAACCTCTGTTCCTCAGGCCGCGTGGCTGCTTCACCGTGGCCCTCGGGCCTCCCTGCCCCCTTGCCCTTCCCGGGGGTGCAGAAGACCGTGTCTCCCCGTCACCGTAAGTCGGTGGTTCTGGCCAACAGACGCGCGTCACTCCCGAAATCGCACTGTCACTTGCGCCTGCAGGTGCCCTGTCCCTGCCCGGGGAGCGGCGGGAGCCAGCGGAGTGGCCTGGGTCGCCACGGGGTCTCCAGTGCTGTCCAGTAGGACAGGGACTCCGTGTGAAGGGGAAAGAAGCGTGTGGGGCCACAGAGATGTTAGTGTTGTGTCTGGGCCATGACCCCTCCTGTCCTGACTGATGGGGTTTCCGCTCACACCTGCGCAGCCCTGAAGCTCCACTTACCGCGGTACCCGCTGTGGCCGGGCACAGAGATCTCTGAACTTGACCCAGCCCACAACTGGCTTGCCTCGGGCTCTGCCACCTCGCGGTCGCGCGGCCTCGGCTGGTCCGTCTGTCCACACTGCTGTTGCGTCAGCCAGAGGATGCCTATTTCATAGCTGCCTATGTTCTCGAACCCCTGCCTCCCCTTCCCGCCCACCCCCACCCACCCCGTTGTGCAGTTCTGGTCCTCGAACATCGCAGGGGGCTTTGAGCCAAGTCCAAACCCCACGGCTCAACTCCCAGCCGACTCAGAAAAAGAGCCAACGCAAAGTCTTGGTCAGGCTCGGTCGCCGCGTGTCCCCGCTGCTGCCCCTCAGAGTCCAGGCCGACCGGGGGACCTGCTCTGGGCCCCCCAGACCCTTCGTATCCTTGCTCCCACCACCTTTCCGTCTGCAGCACAACATGCGTGTGTTGAACACCTACTCTGTGAGCCCCTGTGTTAGGCTCACAGTTCAGTGGGGACAGGGCCACATGAAGCAACAGCCAGCACCTGGGTCGCAGTCCGTACGAAACGTCACATGGGAAGGATGTGAGGGGGCCGCGGGCTCGGACCTGGGGCCACACCCAAACCCAAGCCGGGAGAGGTCAGGAGGGTGTCCTTGGCGGCGAGTGAGCTGGGTTTGGAGGGTTCGGCGTTCCTGGGCAGCCAGGCACAGGGAGACATTCCTGCTGGCAGGGAGAGCGCATGGGGGCAGGGGGGAGGAGAGCTGTGCGCTCCAGAAGAGTGTGGGGCAGGTCAAGGGAGCAGCAGAGAGAGCCGGAGAGGTAGACAGACGCCTCACCGTGAAGGGCTGTGGTTGCCAAGATTTGGATTTTATTTTGGAGATGTGTGGTCATCAAAGGATTTTTTTTTTTTTTTAATGTTGATTTTTGAGAGAGACAAGCAGGGTGGAGGTGGGGAAGGGGCAGAGAGAGACACAGAATCTGAAGCAGCTCCAGGCTCTTGAGTTGTCAGCACAGAGCCTGACTTGGGGCCCGAACTGTGAGATCATGACTTGAGCCAAAGTCTGACCAGATGCTTAACCAGCTGAGCCACCCAGGTGCCCTGGTCATCAGAGGGTTTTAAGTAAAAGAGGGACTTGTCAGATTTGCATGTCAGAAAGCTCCAGCTCCTTCTGACAGCAGGGCCAGGACCAGTGGAAGGAATGGCCGAATTGAGGCCCAGTCAGGGTCCGTTACAAGCACGAGAGAGTGAATTCAGTAAATACTATTTTTCAAGATTGCATTTTTCAGTAATCTCTGCACCCAGCGTGGCACCTGAACTCACAACCCTGAGATCCAGAGCCACACGTTCCACCGACGGAGCCGGCCGGGTGCCCCTTAGTAAATATTAAAGAGGGAGAGTAACAGGACATGGAAAGCGCCTGGCGAAGGCAGCGGAGGGGGAAACGGAGCGCTGGTGGCTCCCAGACTCAGCCTCGGGACTCCGACGGGGTGGTGGGGCTGCAGCCCAGGTGTGTCTGGGGAGGGAAGTTTTGTTTCAGAGGAACTGAATCCCAGGCACACGCGGGGACAGATGGCAGTGCTGACAGATGGCCATCCCGTTCAGGCCTGCAGGGTGAGGGCACCCTGTGGGGGGTATGGTTCTGGAGAGGGAAGCCATTCATGGTGTTGGTCACCCGTGAAGACGTCCACCTCAGGGCATGGGAACTCCAAGGGCCTTGAAGGCAGGCGGGGGGGGGGGGGGGGGGGCAAAAGAGACTCAGAGGCTCGGAGCCGCCCAAGGGGCGCAGGGCTGTGTAGGGGAGATGAACCAGACATCTATTTCCTCTATGCAGCCTCCTGCCTTTACTAGAGCCTTGCTGGACTCAGTAGCCTTGCACCCATCTCGAACAAGGGAAAACTCATTGGTGCATTCTTCGGGGGCATCTGGGGATGGGTACAGGGGCTCAGCTCAGGGGGTGACCGCCGGGCTAGGCGGGTGGTCAGGGGAATGGGAACCTCAGGGAGACCTGGTTCTAAAGGCCCAACTGCTCCTTCATAGGGGGACCCAGTGCACCCAGATTCTTGTTTTCTTCTGATGAGGGGAGAGAACACTTCTCAGGTACCTGACAGATATTCCAGAAGAAAGAAAACCGTTCTTGATCCATATTACAGGCTCAGTAAGCGTGAGTCACTATTTCTGTTACTGCCACTTGTCAAAGACAAGACACTGGATGACTTGCTAGCGTAAGAAGAGGTCCAGGCACCCAAACTGCCTTACACCTGTTTCTACCTTTGAAACCTTTCCTGCCATTCAAGGCTCCCTTCCTAGAACTTTCCCTCCAGAAAACTTTTCCTGGTTTCCGTGTCTTGCCCCACTGGCTTGTGCGAGGGGTCTTGGGAATCTGCCTCCTTTATAGCCCCCACGTCGCCCTACCCCGAAGTGCAGTACTAGTGTCCTATCTTCTCTCTGCAGCTGGACTGAAAGCGCTCCCATTTTCGTGTCTGGCTCGGGGCCTGGCACGCAGTGTGTTCCGTCGGCCCGAACGGGAACATGCACTTTGTAAACTGCGGAGCGCTGCAAACGTGACAACGGGTTTTTTTCCAGGGCGTGGCGACTTTCTGCAGCTTCTCTACTTTCCAGCTCCGGATCCCACAGGGCTGAGGGGCGTGGCTCCCAGTTTCCCGGGTCCACTGAAGAACGAGCACCCATGGGCTCCTATCCCCAAAGAGGAGGCTCTTGGGGAGACAGGAAGCAAAGGGTGGTCTCTGGTTGTCCCGGCCGAGGCGGCGGCCAGGCCAGCGCGCTGCAGCGCGTGTTCGGACTCGTTCCGCAGTCCCCGGGGCCGAGCAACTTTTCCAGCCTTGTGACTGTGGCAACGTGTTTCAGGAACAGCGGGCGGATGTGAAGGGGACACAGGCGACCCCGCCCCAGGCTCCACGGTGGCTCCTGCCGGAGTCGCTACAGACCGCTTATGTTTGCAGACTCCCATCAGCCCGTGTCCCTGCCTCCCTCCGCAGCTGGGAAACCCGGGGGCCCCGGGGTGTCCGCGGCGGGGAGGTCCCGGCAGAGGAGCCTGGGGGCCAGGGTTTCGGGCTGTTGGGACCGAGCTGCAGTTACCCCCCCCTCCCGCCGTCGTGGGCTCGCTCTCCCGTGGCCGCCGCTCTCAGGGCATCCCCCCCCACTCAAAGCGCGCCCCCCGCCCCGACTGCGCCCCCGCCCAGCCCGAGGCCCCGCCCCCTGGCGACCCCGGCCCCCGCCGGCCTGGAGGACCACACCGTGCGAGGCGAGTGGGGCGAGGGGAGTGCGAAGGAGCACTGGGTAGCGCCAGGCACACAGCAAGTGCTCAATAAATGGTCGACTGGCAACTGCGCGCGGTCACCGCGGCCCCTCACTCGCCCACCGCCCCTCCCCGCCGCGACGCAACGAACTAAGCAATCGTTCCCCGCTAGGCAGCGGGTCGATCGCTCTTGCCCCGAGCGCGGGAGCGGACAAAGACCCGGGGCCACGCCCAGCGGCCACACCGTGGGGGCGGGGCAGCGGGCCTTGCGGCTCACCCCGTTGGCTATTCCAGTGACGGACGGGGCCCTCAGCCAACCGCAGCCCGGGCAAAACGC